TAAGCTGGGACCAACTAATATTTGAGTTTGGTCCAGCATCAAGGTCCAATCCAGCATTATCTTTTATTTTCATTTCAGCTATTATAGCTGACAACAACCAAGATATTGTATATTTCACACTTTTCTTATTAGTCTGCATTTCCTTATGCATCAAGTAAGCCAACTCTCTGGTTATTGAGTCCATCTCTAAATCCCACTGGTACTTTTTAGTTTAGCAGGGCAGCTGTTGCTCTGTACCATAGGTAACCGTGTGGTCAGTCAGGAATCAAAGATAGATCATTCGTGCCTTTTTATGCATTCTGTTCCCAAACTGTAGGTTTACCTAAGTGAAGGAAGTTCTACTGAACCTCACCTTTTTTAAACACCAAATGTATATTTTTATTTTTTAAAGTTTATTTATTTGAGAAAGAGAGAGTGGAATGGAGGAGGGCAGAGAGAGAATCCCAAGCAGGACCCATGCCCCAGTGTGGAACTCATGTGGAGCCCAACACAGGGCTCAAAACCACAAACCATGAGATCACAACCTAAGCCAAAACCAAGAGTCAGATGCTTAACTGAGCCACCCATGCACTGCCCCCCCCATATATATATATATACACACATATATATACACATATATATATACACACATATATATATACACATATATATATACACATATATGTGTGTGTATATATATATATATGTATATATATATATGAAACAACAACCAATTTGCTAGCACCAACTAGGTTCAATTGAGTTGAACAATTCTAAAAACACCCAGAGTTAGTGCAAACCCCTAAGACTGCCCTGACTTCAGATGCCAGCTTTGAATGGGGTAGCCAGGCCACCAAACCTCTGCCCAGCCAACTATCAATTTGGGAGTTCCCACTACCACCTCCTCAGGTTTGCAAATTCACTATAAATCACAGATCTCAGTAAAGCACTCTATTCATATTTACCAGTTTATTATAAAGGACACAGCTAAATGGAAGACAGGGCTAAGAAAAAGTATAGGGTTTGGGGATGGCACAGAGTGTCCATGTCCTCTCTTGATGCATCACCTTCCCACCCTATCAGTATATATACAAATAGTCCATTTTTCTTCATCCCACTTCTCTTGCCTATTATGAAGAGAGTTGAATTCAGTGGAAGAAGGGTATACCAACCCAAAAGCTCTCCCAATCTCCTGGTTCAAGTTTTTTGTTTTTGTTTTCCCACTCAATCTTGAGCAACCTTTGGTAGGTTTGGTTTCTTTTGTGTCCAGCCCGTGACCTGCAGATGGCTGCCTTCTCACCCTGTCCTCACATTTTGTTTCTGCCTGCTCATGTCTGGGTCTTTATTAGATTACCAGTTATACTGAATTAAGGCTCACTCAAAGGATCTCATTTTACCTTATTTACCTTATTAAATGTCCTATCTCTAAATATTGTTAAATTCTGATCTCCTGGGGGTTTGCTTTCAACATGTGAATTTTAAGGGGCCCTGGATTTCTCAGTTGATAAAGTATCTGACTCTTGATCTTGGCTCAGGTTAAGGTCTCACAGTTTGTGAGATTGCACCCTGTCTCGGGCTCTTCACAGATCCTGCGTGGGATTCTCTCCCACCTCTCTCTGTTCCTCCCCTGCTGGTCTCTGCCTCTCGCCCTCTCAAAATAAATAAACTTAAAAAAAAAAACCACACAAGAATTTTAAGAGGACATGATTCAGCCTTAATATCTTCTTTGCATTTTTTTAAGTTTCAAAATTGATCTTTAACATATTTTAGTTCTTAGGGCACCTGACTGGCTCAGTCTGAAGAGCATGTGACTCTGGATCTTGGGGTCATGAGTTTGAGCCCCATGTTGGATGTAGAGATTACTTTAAAAATAAATAAATAGGGGCACTTGGGTGGCTCAGTTGGTTATGTGTCTGACTCTTCATTTCAGCTCAGGTCATGATCTCAAAGTTCGTGAGATCAAACTCTGCATTGACAGTATAGGGCCTACTTAGGATTCTCTCTCTCCCTCTCTTTCTGCTCCTTCCTGCTTGCTTGCACACATGTGTTCTGTCTTCCTCAAAATAAATACACTTTAAAATAAATAAATTAAAAACAAGAAAATATTTATTTAAAACATTTTAATGTTTATTCATTTTTGAGAGAGAGAGAGAGAGAGAGAGAGAAAGAAAGAAAGGAAGCAGGGGAGGGGCAGAGAGAGACACACACACACAGATTCCCAAGCAGGCTCCAGGCTCTGAGCTGTCAGCAGAGCCCATCACAGGGCTTGAACTCACGAACTGCAAGATCCTGACCTGAGCCATCCAGACACCCCAGAAATAATAAAAATATTTTAGTTCTATATCCTTGTTATTTAAAATTTGTTTTTGCTTTTCATTAATTTTTTTCCCCAAAATGCTCAAAGTCGTTAGGTTGAATCCAGACAGCCTTTTGGCTACCAAGAAAGCAAACTGATAACTCTATTGTTCAATGTATATACAAATAGTTTTTTTTCCTCATCCATTTCTTTGCTTATAATGAAAATAGCAGAATCTAGAGGGAAAGGGGGAAAACTGAAAAAAAGAAAATTAAATAGGGAAAGAAGAGTAAGAGAGATTAAACTGCACTGAACACCTAATACATGATTTTTAAGGATAATCTGGACCCTGAGTTCCTACCAAGAGAAGGTGGAAAGGCCTTCTATTCATGTGGTATACTTTGGGGTTTCTCAAGGATTGGGTCTCCTGTCCCCAGACATAACGATTATTAAATATTATGGTTCCCCAACTATTTGGCAACATAAAGTAGTTATACCTCAAAAATAGTTTCAGAAAACAAATTTGAACCTACAACAACTCCAACTCCTTGGCTGGGTTGGATACTAACCATCTAGAGAACTTATTGTCTACACATACACACCTAAAAGAGCTTCCCAATTGCTATGCCACATGTGGAAGTTAACAGTATGCTGTAATATTGCTTTTTCCCAAGGATGTAAACAAGAATCATCATTAGTACATGTCCTAACCACAACAAAATCTTCTGCTGAGATATAAATGTCTGGTAGATACAATGGAGATTGAGATTTAGGAGTGAGGAATATGCTAGTTGTATCTGAAGCCCTGAGGATGTGTGAAAATGTAGAGAGAGAGAGAAGGTGGAATAAGAGAGAGGAAACAGAAGGACCTTAACGTAGAGAATGTGAACACTGAGGAGAGAAATTTTGGAAAAGAAGCCAGTAAAAGACTTTAAGAAGGGCAAGTAGGGGAAATAAAAAAGAAAAAAGAAAAGGAAAAAACAAAAAAAGGGCAAACAGAGAGGAAGGAGAACCAGGTGGGCTGGTACCTAAGAGGCAAGGTTTAGTGACATGAAGACTGAAGTTTCCATGTCATTTAGCAGCAAGTGGCTCATTAGTGTCTTTCGTGAGGGTGGATGAGTGAACACAGTAGTAATAAAACCAAGATTTGCAGTGAGTGAAGGAGTAGGAGGTGGAGAAGCTGGAGTATTTATGACCTTTTATAAAGACATTTAGCTGTGAAGGGAAGAAGGGATGATGATGATTGGACTCCATATAAGTGAAGGGAAGTGGGGAAATTAATGATTCTTTCATTAACTAAAGCAGTATATAACAACTAATGATTTACCTAATTAACACCTATTCTTAGTCACAGCATCTCACCTTCTTTTTTTAAAAGCTTTTTTTAATGTTTTCTTTATTTCTGAGAGAGAGAGACGGCGTGAGCAGGGGAGGGTCAGAGAGAGAGGGAGACACAGAATCCAAAACAGGCTCCAGGCTATGAGCTAGCTGTCAGCACAGAGTCCAATGCGGGGCTCGAACCCATGAACCATGAGATCATGACCTGAGCCGAAGTCAGATGCTTAATCGACTGAGCCACCCAGGCACCCCCAAACCCCACCTTCTTAGAAGTGATAACATACTCTGCTAAAAGATAAGAGCTCCCCAAAATCCTTTCAGCTGTGGGTAACCAGTGAGATAGATAATAATCAGAAATTGCATGGGTTTTCTAGTATTACTCCTTAAGAACAATGACAGAGCAGAAGCTGCTATATGCCCCATCTGCTCTGCCCTTTATCTTCTCCTGTCCCCTCCCCTTGCTTTGTACTTGGAGCAGGAGTCTTGGATCATGACACAGGTGGAAGAAGGAAACCAGTGCTAAGAATGTTGGAGTAGAAAGAGAAGAGGTTGGGTACTTGTGATGCCAAGATACCACCAAACCAGCACTCAGGCAGTCTACCTTAGTTCTTTATGTGAAAGAAAATCTTTCTTCTCTTTCACCCACAGCAAATTCTGCGAAACACAATTTCTACCAAGTAATGCAGTCACCCCCAATTTTTCAATGCTTCCTGCAAGTCTTATTCCTGTCCTCCACTGAAAAAAATCATGGTCATTAGATGCTAAAGCACTGAAATTCCTGTCTTCAAGACTTCATTTCCCTCTTAGCTCTAACTTTCTTCTGTCCAAGGCAAAGCATTGTAACCAGGCTTAGCTAACCTCACCTTGTGCTTCCTTAGAACATCCTCCTAACATCCCTTCTCTCTTCACTGTAGGTAACATCTCCCTGTCTCCCCATTCTGGCCATAAAGATACCTAAATCTCTAGCTTTAAAAACCAAAACAAAAACCTCACAATAATCTTTCCAACCCCACGACTCCCGTTAACTATCATCCTAGGTCTTTCCTTTCTCTATCATGCAAAAAAAGCGGAGTCCGGTTGTGCCAGCTTCTGTCTCCAACTGCCCATGTATCAGCCCACAGACGACTTCCCAAGGTTCTCTGTTCCTCACTCTCCCGACCCATGGCACCCTAACTGCCAGAGCCTCTGCACCCTTGCTTTTACTCTCCCCTTCCTTGTGAATAACCTCCTCTCAGGTCCGCACCGTCCAGGCTGGCCTCCTTCCTCTCTCCTCATCGGTCAGCTCGTTTTCCTTAGTGTCGGCGGTGTTAAGCCCAAGGAAGGAAGGAGACCAGGGGCTCAGAACAGGGGAGATAAGCTGTCTTAACTGAACACGCTCAAATGTAAGGGACAGTCCAGGAGAGTGAGGGGGACAGGGAACCGACCTGTCCTCTGGACGCGCCGACACCAGGACGTCCACGCACTGGAGCAAGCATGGTGAGGAAAACTGCCCCAAGGCTTCTCCAGGTGCCCTGGGGTGGAGCAGTCAGGCTCGCGTCCTCGCCCAGAGCGCATGCGTGGGCCACCTGCGGGAGGGCTGCGCCTGCGCAACAGGCCGCACGTGCCTGCCGCGTGGAGCTTATAAATGTGGGAGCCAAGGCCCAGCTGTCAGAGACATTCCAGGTCGCGTCGGTTTAGAGTAGGTGGGCGTACCGAACACGGGGGTGAGGGGTCGTCACGGAGGTCCGGTGAGGGATAGGTGCCGAGGGAGCGGAGAAGGCCGGCTGGCAGGACTGGGAGCGGGTGTGAGACGTGGGTAAAGAGAAGCTGGGTCCCCCGGGATGGGCGCCTCTGTACCTGGGAAGGGGCGGGGTGGGCAAGGCGAAGAGGCTGAGGACAAGGGTGCTGCAGGCCAGACCTAAGCGGCGGCCCTCCAGTGGAGCTCCTGGGCACAGCCCGTCACGTTCGAGGCGCTGTGCACGTTGTCTCCTGGCCTCCGTCTTCCCTCCTTGCTGCTGCTGCTGCTCCTGCTGCTCAGGGAGCCAAAGCTTGTTTGGGCGAGATGCGGCCGGGCTTGTGGGCAGCGCTGCCCGGGTCTCCAACATGGCGCCGCGCAGCCCTGTGTCCACCATCCCAGACCAGCCATTAGAGAAGTGAGGACCCTGCCACCCAGACTTGGAAGTCTTAAAGGAAACTGGGACGGCTTCTCCCCTAACGGCAGTGTATGGAGCTGCGTACGACTGCCCTTTCCTAAGGACGCCCACCTGTTTTTCAGCCTAGGAAATGAGAGCCTTTTCAGAAAACAGTGCACATTTTGAGGCCAGTAATGCCAGACCCTTTTTTACGTGCACGCCACGGGCCGCAGCCTTACCTGAGTCCCTGGTGCCAGAATGCCACCTGCAATCCATTCTCTGTTCCTGGGGCAGGTGAGAAATCCAAGACCCTACCCCTAAAGCAATGCCTGAGGTTTTCTTATTAATTCATAATCTCCCTTTCCCTACCGTGTCCTGACACAAAAGGGATTATAGCAGCACATAGGGCCAGTGTTTGAAGTTCACTTTAATAGGTAAAATTTGAATTCTAGCTATATGCCAGTTATTCTGCTAAATATGGAAAATAGGTTCTCTCAACATTGATTGACCTCAACAACCCGATGAACTAGGTATTGTTGCTGTCTTTGACAGATGAGGGAACTGAGGCTCAGAGTCTGGGACTTGCCCAGAGTTACCCAGCAGTCAAACCAAAATGTTATGTTATGAGACAGTCTGGTAGAAGAAGTACCTTAGAGACCTAGCCTCTAGAATTTTTTCAGCAAGGCTTAAAAATTCTAAAAACTATTATGGTAGGGTCAAAAAAGCACTCTGGGAGAATGAGAAGGCTTCACAGTCTGGAAGGTAGATATCCAGGGATTTCATGCATTATAGGGTGGGAGGGGTCTTTAGGCCGGACAGGAGGATCCATAGGGTAAATCTTCCTTCTCACCTCCAGTATCAAAGAATGTTAAATCTACTCTTCTGTATGCCGTCCTGCAGATAAAACATGTCCTGTACTTTATGCAACTTGTTTTCCAGGTAGAAAATTAGGTGTGACAAAGAGTGCTTTTGAGTTTGTCATTGTTTCCAGCTGGTAATAGAATATTTTTTGTTCTGGCTGTTAATGACTCCATCCTCCCTAACCCTTGGCAACCACTAATCTTTTTATTGTCTCCATAACTTTGCTTACTTCTAAAGTAATTTCAGTGAAGAATTGATCTTCCATATAATGCCACTCTTTATTCCTGATCACTTTCCATGCTCTGAAGTCTGGTCTGTCTCAAAGAAATAAAGCTTGTCCATTTCTTTTGGTTAGTATTAGCACAGTACATCTTTCTCCATGCATTTATTTTCATCCCTGTCTTCTTATTTAATGTGAATTTTTTTGTAGACCACAGTTTATGCCTTTTAGTATGTTTTGTGATGTTTTCTTGATTGGTAGGTATTCTGTACTAGATTAAAGAAATTGCTCTAAATAGGCTCTTAGTGACGTGTCAAATTGTAGAGATGCAACAGTTTTACATAGATCATAGTTTTACAGTTATGAAGGACTGCTTTTTATTTTATTTTTTAATTTAAAATTTTTTATACAAATAGTTTATTGTTAACTTGGTTTCCATATAAACCCAGTGCTCATCCTCACAAGTGCCTTCCTCCATGCCCATCAGCACCCCCCCATCATTCCTCAGTTCTCAGCATTCAAGAGTCTCTCATGGTTTGCCTCTCTCCCTCTCCCCCACTATTTCCCCCCTTCTTCTCCCCCACAGTCCTCCGTTAAGTTCCTCCTAATCTTCCTCCTATACATGGAAACATACGGTATTTGTCCAGGAGGACTGTGATTTTAGATCTCATCTTTTAGTGAGATCCTGTCTTTGGACAGTGAACTTCACATATACTTCACCTTCTTCCTCCCATTGGATAAGGAGGAGTGGGTTTGAGATAAGTATTTGCCTAACCCCCCGTCATTTAGGCCCTGGTTAACTAGCTGTTCTGAGATCTGGCTTGCTAGGAATAGAATTTTCCTGGCATATGTCACAATACTTCTTCTTTCTCACTCTGTACTTCCCACAGGGAATTTTTCTCCTAGATTTACTGTGAGAAACTGGTTGAAGTACTGCAGATAAAACTCAAAAAAGCAAAGGGTCCCCTTGAAGTTTTTTTAACTCAGATCTATCGACACTGAGCCTGAAATTGACAATTGCAGTTCAGGTTTCCTTTACTCTACCACTAGTTCCTGTGGAGTTTTTATCTCTTGGATTTGTGTTCCTATAAAGTGTGGTTACCTCAGTTCTCATCTCTCTCCAACATTGGGGGTAACACTGTCCTGTAACCTGTTGCTGTGAAGGTTCTGAGAAGAGTTCTTGATTTTTCAGTTCACTTACTCTGAATAAAATAAAAACCTGATTTCCAAGCTTCTTATACACCCAGAATCAGGTGTCTACCACCTTCTTTTTTTAATTTAAATTTTAGTTAGGATACAGTGCAGTATTGGTTTCAGGAGTAGAACCCAGTGGTTCATCACTTACATAGAACACCCAGTGCTCGTCCCAACAAGTGCTCTCTTTAATACCCATCACCCATCTAGCCCATCCCCAGCCCACCTCTCCCCGTAAACCCTTAGTTTGTGCTCAATCATTTAGAGTCTATTGTGGTATGTTTCCCTCTCCTCTTTTTTTCATCCCTTCCCATATGTTCATGTGTTTTATTTCTTAAATTCCACATATGAGAGAAATCATATGGTTATCTGTCTCTCTGATTGACTTATTTTGCTTAAGTGTAATACATTCTAGCTCCATTCTTGTTGCAAATGGTAACCTTTCATTCTTTTTGATGGCTCAGTACTATTTCATTGTATGTACATACCACATCTCCTTTATCCATTCATCAGTTGATGAACATTTGGGCTCACTGCATAATTTGGCTATTGTTGATAATGCTGCTATAAACATTGGGGTGCATGTACCCTTTTGAATCTGTATTTTTGTATCCTTTGGGTAAATACCTAGTAGTGCAATTGCTGTATCCTAGGGTAGTTCTATTTTTAGTTTCTTGAGGAACCTCCATCCTATTCTCCAGAGCAGCTATACCAGTTTGCATTCCCACCAACAGTGCAAAAGGGTTCCCCTTTCCCCACATCCTCACCAACACCTCTTCTTTCATGTGATGTAAATTATAGCCTTTCTGACAGGTGTGAGGTGGTATCTCATTGTGGTTTTGATTTATATTTCCCTGGTGGTGAGTGATGTGGAGCATCTTTTCATGTGTCTGTTAGCCTTCTGGATGCCTTCTTTGGAAAAGTGTCTATTTATGTCTTTTGCCGATTTCTTCGCTTGATTATTTGTTTTTTGGGTGTTGAGTTTAATGAGTTATTTATAGATTTTGAATACTAACCCGTTATCCATTATGTCATTTGCAAATATCTTCTCCCATTTAGTGGTTGCCTTTTAGTTTTGTTGATTGTTTTCTTTGTTGTGCACAAGCTTTTAATCTTGATGAAATCCCAGTAGTTCATTTTTAGTTTCCTTTGCTTCCGACATGTCTAGTAAGAAGTAGCTATGGCTGAGGTCAAGACTTTGCTGCCTTTGTTCTCCTCTAGGATTTTAATGTTTTTTTTTTTTTTTTTTTTTGGTCTCACATCCATTTTGAATCTATTTTTGTGTATGGTGTAAGAAAGTGGTCAAGTTTCATTGTTCTGAATGTTGCCGTCCAGTTTTCCCAACACCATTTGTTGAAGAGACTTGTCTTTTTTCCATTGGATATTCTTTACTGCTTTTTTGAAGAGTAGTTGACTATATAAGTTGTGGTGTCTACCACCTTTTAGTTTTGATTAGATATGCAGTACACAGTGCTGTATAATTGAAATAGAGGGTTAAATATTTGCATTAAGTGAGATATACAGCATTTGTTTTTCTCTGTCCAACTAATTTCTCTTAAGAGAATGCCCTCTATGCATTTCTAAATGGTCCATCTATTACAGAATGGTGGCATTTCTTTTTCTTGTTTCCTTCCTTTCCCTCCCTTCCTCCCTCCCTCCCTTCCTTCCCCTTCCCTCCCTTCATATCCCTTCCCTTTCTCCTTCTTTCCTTCCTTCCAAGATTTTGGTGGCATTTGGAAAGGCATGTGGAAGGAGGATGTCCCAGAAAAGGGAAGAGTAGTTGGCCTGAGGGAGAATCCACATATGGCTAGAGCCTATAGACTTAGTGGAAGACTGAAATGATACAGTGACACACCAGATAATGAGGGCCTTTATGGCATCCTAAGGAATGGGGTCATTGTTCCTCATCTCCAGACTGGTAGTGATAAGTCCTACTATCTCTGGAATGAGAAGAAATCACAGTTGAGTCATAAAGATAATTCTGGTATGGGACACCTGGGTGGCTCAGTTGGTTAAGCATCTGACTCTTGATTTCAGCTCAGGTCATGGTCTTGAGATTGAGCCCCATATTGGGCTCGTGCTGACAGGGCAGAGCCTACTTGGGATTTTCTCTCTTTCCTCTCTCTCTGCCCCTCCATCTTCTCTCTCTCTCTCAAATTAAATAAACTTAATTAAAAAATATAATTCTGGTAGTAGTGTGGATCACAAATCTATGATATATCAATGAGATGGGTCAAGGAAGTTACTAGTAGTTACTAAGGTAAAAGTGTGGGAGATCACTTAGATTTGCTGGTTACTGAGGGACAAAACCCCAACTCTAACACCTATTTTTTGCAATGGATGACTCCTGTGGTTCTATGGTGAATTCTGGTGGCAGGAACTTCCTGTTAAGGTATTTTGTTCCACTATATGCTACAGTACAATATGTATAGTGGCAAGTTATCTGTCTCTTTAGGTATATGGACTTCATTCTTTTGACTTTAAACCTCTGTAAACAACCTTGAACTCCAGCTGAGATTTGTCTGCTTCCTTTCAATAAGGGAAGAACCCTTATATGAAGGCTGTATGTACAAATATACATTTTACGTACATTATAAAATGTACATTAAAAAATGTATAAATACATTAGACCAGGTCCCAGAGCATTTTGATGCAGTCCAACAGTGAAATTGAGTTCATAAGATCAACCTCACCATATTGAATAAATTGCCCTTGTGAATGCTGACCTGAATATAACTATTGCTTTTATATATGTAGAAGTTTCTTTTTAGAGGTTATATCTTAACTTCATTTGTTAATTTATAAATCTGTCTTGCTAAATCAAATGCCTTTCCCAAAATGAATTTATATGAGAGAAATGTGTCTGACATTATTGGCACCATTGCCTTGCTTACTTCTGTAGAATGGAAAATGGAGGAAGATGTGTTTATGAGGGAAGAGTGCTGAATAAATGGGTTTAGAATTGCTCATACATACAAAGTAATTTTGTTATTTACCCTTTAAGACCTGAAATGAATTACTGTTTCTTCAGCAGTGATTATCCTGAATTATGCTTAGTGGGTGCTTGATCTCTTTGAAAAAGAGCCACTCTAATAGGGGTGATTCATGATAACACTATCTGATGGCCTGGCAACCAACCAGTCAGAACAGATGCCTGTTCTCATAGTGAAGGAGGGTGCTGGAGGCCCCACTGTTATGGTCATTGCCCTTTCACTTGTCATATACTTAGACTATCCAGGGAGAAAGTCGGGGCCATTAGCTACCAAATGGCATAGAAGAAACTCCATATTTTAACAATTGGTGTGGCCACATGGCCGTGTACTGGCAGAATGTTGGGACTGGCTGCAGGAGACAGAGTCACTAACTACTGTATTCTCTTTCTAGGTTTTAGAAATGGAAGTCTGTATTTTCCATCTTCAGTGGTACTCAGTGAGTATCCTGGCTTCCTTGTCCTCAGCCCCCATTGCCCACTACACTTAACCAAAGACCTATGTTTTATAACACGGCACAGTTCCAGCACTGTAGTGGCTGTAGAAAGAAAATGTGAACAAGAGACACTCAGACTGAACCTCAGCAGGCTGCGAATATGACTGAGCAACAAAACACCCCCTCAGAAGGTGATATGGTGACCAGCATCCCTACTTCTGATATTGACATAGAAACAGACAACATTCCTAAGAAACAGATGGGGTTTTGTCTTCTGTTGCCCAGAAGAGGGAGCTACGTGGTAAGAGCACTTCTAATAACAGCTTGTGTAGAACATCACCTCACGGAGGCTTTGCATCTGAGGAAGAGAAAATGAGGCTAGAACAGAGCAAAGGATCCCCTGGAACGCAGTTTTGGAAGACTTTGAAGGAAACTATGCATTTGTATGACCTAGCTTATGGTAAAGCCATGCCAGAGAAGATGGTGCAGTACAATAGAATTACACAGAGTTCTTGGGAAAGTAGAGGTGTGCTTTTTAACCCTCATGAGGGTACAGAGAGCATTACATGTAAAGATGAAGAAAGCACTGTCTGGTTGGAGCAGTGTCCTGATGTAAGACATGATGATGTGGTAAAGTTGGGCTCCATCATGAATGTGAACTTGGGTCAAGAAAAAAAAGAAAAAGGCTATGTAACTGCCCCCAATTCCTATCTTTTCCAGATAAAGCAAAAGACAGAGATGAAATCCAGGATACCCTGAATTCAAATCTGTGCATGTCTTCTGGAGATGGCAACAGGCTCCAGTAGGAAAGGCCAGTCAGCTCCAGCAATAAAGCCACTGAGGACCTGGGCCTACAGTCCAAATCCCAGAGTCCCGTTAGCACTGGAGAAAACATGTCAGATAATGGTAGTGTGGGCCATGGCTTCTCTGTGAATGTGGATGAAGTTGAAGTGATACAGAGTAACAGTTACTGGGAGAATTATGTCCCTCCTCCTATCCCGCTGGAATCCCAGTTCAACCAGGTCGATGGAGGCATTCAGTGTGATATGAGCCAGTGGCAAGATGAAGAGCACAAGAAATCTCGAGTCTTCACCAGAAAGCAGAAAGGCAGCAGAGGAAAAGTCAGTCAGATGTGGGAAATTGGGTGAAGTGGTAGAAAGGGACAGCTACCCAAGTATGTCCTTAGCTCTGCTAGGTTGGCCCAGATGAATAGCAAAGGGGTGGATGAAGGGATTCAGTGTGATATGAGCCGGTGGCAGGATACAGAGCTGGAGAAACCCCTGAGCAAATGCCTTACAAACATGAGTCATCACTAGACTGCAGAACTAAAAGATCACAGAGAAAGTCGATCAGGAATGGGAAGTTGAACACAAATGAAGAAGAAATGACCATGAATGATGAGACTGAGGAAGGATATCATTAAAACTTCAAAAAGGGTGGCAGGATTAAAAAAAACTGAAAGGCAGGAAGCAGAAAACCCTCAGCAATTTCTCAAGTGGTAATATAGTGTATTTATTGAAGAAAAATGCTGCCTTGAGCACTGTACTTCCCAAGGATTCAGAGGACTGTGAGTTGGAACAGGAAGTTGAAGATGAAATGTATGAGGTAGAATGCCTCTTTGAAGAAGTTAGTCCACTGGACCCTGTGACTTCCTCGAAAGGAAGGATTTATTGCAAGGCCAGCAGGATAATCAGGATGCCACCTAAGTGGTCTCTCCCTCAACTTACTGTCTGGACCACCAGAAATAAGGACAGGTTAAAGCATGGTGAATATAAGATCATCCCTATGGTGTATGAGGTGACCGGACAGGATGGCAGGCTCCAAAGGGAACGTACGATGGCCATGCAGGAGGGACTGGACTCCAAGAGAGCCTCTCACAAGTCATGGGAATGTAAGTGACTAATGGGCTGATCCTATTTGGTTGTCTGTGGTGCTTCTGTACTGGGTCCTGGATGCAAAGGCAGCCGTAGATCAATAGTATTTCTGCATTTTGAAAGTATGTTCTTAAACAACTGTGGGTGCCCATGTGTGTAGGATTGGCAGAGATCCCATTTGAGGTCCTGCATTCTAGAAATCATAATGTAATTTGAAACAAAGAGCTGTGGCAGATGATGGAGAGCTGAGCGGTCGTAAAGGACAGTGGGGTTGAGAGAAAAGGACATTGATGTAGGTGCAGTTGCTGAGAATGGGCAGTCCATGTGGAGGCAGTGAATTGTGAAACACATTTGGGGACTGTGGTGTGGAGTGGGAATGGAGACCGTAGCGTGAGCTCATCAAATGGGCAGTCTGGGCAGGTCAAGTGTGTTCCAGGGATTGAGCCTGAGACCAGCAGGACAGAGGGGAGACCTGAGAGAAGTTGAGAAAGTAGGTCTAAGCAGAATGGGCTACAGTAGTTAATTTTCTTTTTTAGATATTTGTCCTCTAGGCAATAAGGATTTGCCACAGCAAATTGAATAGAGAAAGTACAGGAAGAAGTATGCTCTAGGAATCTTCAGCTGGTAGTGCAGTGTAGGAGGAATTTGAACTCTGCCTATATGGCTGAAACCCCTGTATATAGTCAGTTTTAGTGATCATTGGATATAAAGTGATGAGGGTCTTAACTCATGTGGTAGTAAAAGATCTATGTGTAAGATCTGGGGTTTGAATTTGAGTACCTAGTGAAAGTGGTAGCGTCTATGGAAAGGTAAACTTGGGAAAGGAATTTGTTTTGCTTCACTGTGTGGTTGTCAGTGGGCGGACTGGAATAGCACGTCATGCATACCTCGTTGAAGCTGGACTTTGGACTACCCTATTTTTGGGGAGAGGGTCAAATGAGTGGGAGGTCCAAAGTAGAGCCTGGGGGATGATTATATCAGGGGTGTAAAAATGAAATTAAGCAGGTAAGAGATGAATGGGATGTATAAGGGCCCCCGAAAATTTAATTAAGTTCCAGTCTTAGCTCCTAAACCAGAATACTAGCCATCTTACCTTTCTTAGTCTTCTTAAAGTCTCTTTTGCCTCTGCTGTCATTTCTCATCAGTGTGTAGGAATCAGTTTTTTCCATCCTATCACAGCCCTGTGAAGAAGACAACTTTTTAGAAAATATTTATTTTTGAGAGAGAGATAGAGTACAAATAGGGGAGGGTCAGAGCGAGGGGGAGACACAGTATCCGAAGCAGGCTCCAGACTCTGAGCTGTTAGCACAGAGCCCGATGTGGAGCTCAAACTCATGAGGGGCTTGAACTCATGAACCGTGAGATATAACCTGAGCTGAAGTCAGATGTTTACCAACTGAGTCATCCAGGTGCCACTGAAGAAGATAGCTTTAATTTACTTTTGGCTATGCAGTAAAGATGATAATTTTCAGGCTGACTTCTCTAGATTATGTCTATTACTGTTTTTGCTAAATGATTTTTTTATGGCAAAGGATGTAGAATGATATAGTATCTTGTACAGTAGATTTTTCTTGAAAGATATGCTTTTGATTTGATTTTTCTGTTGGTTTTTAAGCAGTTTGGGTTATTTAATGGATGGATCATTTCTTCCCTCAGGTAACTGTGAGAGAAGGAAAACCAAAGTATCTTACAAGGTTTCAAACAGATTTGATGCAGATGCTGCAAAGTTTAGGAAACAGCCAGCAGGTACAGAGGTTGATGTCTATATTGTGTCCAGTTTCGATGTCTCAATGATAGGACTTTGGGGTTTCATACTCAGTGTGTGTTCTATTCTCTGAAACTAACACAGTTTGTGGGCAGTGAAAAATGGCAGGATTCTAACTGGATCATAGACCTGTATCTATAGATCCTTACTACGAGTAAGACTTTCAAATCTGTGGATTTTTTTGAATGATTTATTTTTATTTATTTTGAGAGAGAGCATAAGCAGGGGAGGGGCAGAGATAGAGAGACAGAGAGAATCCTACATAGGCTTTGCACCATCATCTCAGAGCCCGAAATGGGGCTTGATATCTCAGGAATAGTTTGATCATGATCTGAGCTGAAATCAAGAGCCAGACACTTAACTGACCCAGCCACCCTGGTACCCCTGTGGGATGTCATTTTTATGTCAGTTTTCTACATTTAATTCCCAGAGCTGTTAATGGTAGTTTATTTGGATTATGTGGGGTTTTGTAAGTTATCTTGGTAGTTTCACTCAAAGTGTCCCAGTTTAGAGCTAGTAGAGTTAGATACTGGAAGTTCAGGTTCTCCACTAAGGGGCTAGTAACATGACAGGCTTCTTTTCACACTGAGTCTTGCATTGAGTGTCCCTGAGACACCTTCAACCCCTGATCCCTGGGGTGTCTGGGAGCAAGTGGTTACTGGCCTTTCAACTAGGCTATTCCTGCCTTGCAGTGGTCATCAAGTAAAGACTAATAAAAGCAACAATGTCATGACATTTAGCTTTATTCTAAAAATGGAGTGTTAAGATCTTAGTAATGACTCTCACTATATCTTGAGTCTGTTATACAGCCTATTTGATAAAATGTATTATGCCATTTTTATTTCATAGGAAAGAAATTTCTGAGTTCCAGCTACATAGAAGAGCTAAATATTACATCATCATTACAGTTTAGAACGTGATCATCCCTTGATTTGAACTAATAAAGTTCAAATTATAACTAGAAACAAGAAAATGTGACATTGTAAAGCCTTTAGAATTATAAGGTATAAAATATCCAATAAATTGAATTGCTTATGTGTGTGATTCTCAAGCGTTTTCTTCTCTTCCAAAAATGGCCATGTTATCAGTAACACCAACAATAGAGTTGAGTTATTCCTGAATACTTCTGCCATGTATATTACTGTCTTATAGTCTCTAAGAACTTTTAAATATCGGGAAAAGTATGGTAGAGCTGAGGACAGAATAAATAGATAAAGGATTCTCCATAAATAGGAACTACCTGAGGATAGAAACCATACCTTACTCATTTTGCATAAATGGAGAATGGGCATATAGTTGGTCCACTGATTGGTATATCCAGGTGCAGTATGTTCTGTAGTTCTATCCAGTGTGTTACTTGAAACAAAG